TGAACAGGAATGGGATTGTCCAAAATCCCTGCCTGAACGGGAGCTGATGGGAGAGAGGCAGCTCACAGCCATCCCCAGTGCAAGGAATGTGGACAGAAAGTGGGAGAAAAGCTCCAGGAATTGTCTGTACCACAGCAGGAGATCAGGAGCCTAACCCTGGATGAGATAATTCCCCAAGGTACTTTGCAGTAAGGGAAAAAGTGTTCCAGGTTTCCCAGGAGGTGACATTTAAAACTCATTTTCTGGTGGCAAAGTGAGCAAGGACCATGGTACAGGAATCAATGAATCCAGCCTTTGGAAAGGCTCACATCCAGGACATCACATAAAGCTCTTGCAGAATGGAGGTAGCTCCCAGGTTTCTGTCACAGAACTTCTGTTGTTCCCTTAAACCCCTCCCGCAGTTGGTGACTCCATGAGAATGACCATTCTCATGTGGAGTAAGCTGTAGGATAGAATAGATCCTAAGGGTGGCAATATGAATGGCTTAAGAGAGAAAAAAACCCAGAAGTCAGCATTTCCTTGGGTTTGATGATTCCTGAATGCTGGGGAGCTGCACTGTTTGACTCCTAATCAGCCATCAGGGAAAATAAACCAAAGATCCCAGTGTGACCTGTCAGCAGCCTCCATGTGGTGAATCCCATGAGCTGATCTTCCCCCTGAGGAGCACTGCTCCACTTGGAGAGCCCCAGGTGAATCCCATGAGCTGATCTTCCTCCTGAGGAGCACTGCTCCACTTGGAGAGCCCCAGGTGAATCCCATGAGCTGATCTTCCTCCTGAGGAGCACTGCTCCACTTGGAGAGCCCCAGGTGAATCCCATGAGCTGATCTTCCTCCTGAGGAGCACTGCTCCACTTGGAGAGCCCCAGCAGTGCACAGTGTGGCTCAGCCCAGCCTTGGCAGAGCACCACCATCCTTCTCTGAGCTGAAATGCTCCTCTGGAGCCTCCTTTCCTTCCACAGGTGCATCTCTGGTGACTTCTGTGGGCTCCAGATGTGGAGATATTTGTGACTGGGATTAAACCCGGTGCCACAGTGATCTCAGGCTAATCCTGGAAGGATCCAAGCAGTGCCAGAATCATGGAATGTGCAGGGTTGGAAGGGACCCTCAGGGATTGTGGAGCCCTGCACAGGACACCCAAACAGTCCCCCCTTGTACCTGGTGGTTTTCACCTTCAGAACTGGGGCAAGGAAAGGGTTGAGTGATCACTATTCAGTGATTTGTCCCTGCCAGAGACAGGAGGGTTCCTGATGGATATTGAGGGCATGGAAGGAGTTAAAAATATTCAGTTCTCTTTGGGCTATGAGTGTCAGAGCTTTGGTAGAAGGGGAGGGAAGTGGTGAGAGAGGAGGGAAAGTAGCCAGCTAGAGGAGCAAAAATCCTCAGCTGAATGGTTTCCTTTTGATATATTAATACCTCCTTCAAGGGCTATTTGAGGAAAAACAGACTTAAGAAAATGAGCTGGGATTTAAATGGGCACAATTGTCTTCAGAGAGATTTAAATAATTCCTAAATGAGTGTTTTTAGTTGAACTCAGAGAGGCCACTAAGCTCTGAGCACAGGTCAGGCTGGGGACAGGGAGACAAGTGGGAGGCTGAGCAGAGAGGAGGAGGAGGGAGGAGGGCAAGGGGCTGTCAGGGGAGGCCTGGCCACAGATGGAAGGCAAAAAAGGGACACCAAGTGGCTTCAGAGAGGGCCAGCTGAGCGTGGCATCATCTGCCTGACCCCACAAGAGTGGGGCCTTCAGCAGCTCCAAGGGAAGGGGGAAAACCCCAGTGAATCTTCAGTTTCCAGACGTGGAAAGAAGGGGTTGATGCTTTCAATTCTGACCCCATCTCTGCACAAGGGAGAGCTGAGGGCCCCAAAACCCTCGTGGCTGAGAGGAGGGAGCACCAGCAGAGGCAGGAGAGACAAGATCTCCCTCTCCTTAACCATGACAGAGAATGATGGTTCCTTATCTCACAGCTTGCTTTTATAACCCTGATTTCCATTTGCAATGGGAAGCAGCACCTTTATTCGTGGGGAAGTAAATTTGTCCTGTTTTCCCTGGGAGCCTTATCTGGGGACAGCGGTGACAGGGGACTCTGACAAGCCCTGGGGACACTGCAGAGCAGTAATTTATTGCTCTTTGTTACAAAGCCATAAATCCACGTTCAGTGGTGAATAAGCAGAGTCCCAGTCACCCCATCCAGCCCGTGCTGGTGCATTTTTGGAGCGTGGGGATGTTTTTCCCAAGGAGCAAAGGGCAGTTAAGATGGACAGCAAGTGCCAGTGGAGCAGAGGACAGGGGCAGGGGCATGTGGCTGCAGCAGGTGAGGAGAGGCACCTGGTGACACTGGTCACTGCTCTAAAGCTGAGAGCCTAAGGGGATATTTTTGGCAAATCATTTATTCAACAAAAATGCAGTATTAAAGCAAGCAGAGTTCTTAGTGGATTTTAGATGAATTTAATAAACCTGAGTCAGCAGAAGCTCGTGCCTCATGATTTCCCTTTCCATGTGAGAGTCCCACACATCCTGTGCCTGCTTTGCCAGGACCCATGGGTGTCTCAGGCTGCAGTGCCTCTCCAGTGGCAGGAGACATCTGTGGTGAGATGAGCCAAAAATCCCAAAACCCTCTGCTTGGAACACTATAACCTCCAAAACTCTCTTTGGATGAGTTGCCCACAAGGGAGCTGCTGTCTTCCACTCTGCTGCTGCTTTTCCCTTCCTTTCCCTGCCTCATTTCCTCGGGGCACCCAGCACATCCTGTCCTGCCACAGCCATCCCTGCGGAGCCTGAGCCACGCAGGTGACAAAGGGCCAGTTGGAGCTGGGGACTCCCTTGCCTTTGGTCAGGCTGGAGGGGTCAGGAGTATTTCCAGGCAGTTCCTGTGCTTTGGGAATGCCAGGAAGCCCCGAGTGTCCCCTCTGCCACTTTGGCTCCTTGGAGTGATGCCCTCTCCTGCGTGCTGCAGATGGAGCTGGCAGTGCCAGCACAGGCTGTCCCTGGAGCAGGACCCGGGGCTGGAATGGGCACAACTTCACTAATCAGGCTCTCCTGCACTAAAGGGACATTCAGGGACGTGTTTATCAGGGAGAAGAAGGGAAATAGGGCTGGGAAAGGAGCAGCACAGTCCTTTTGTCAGCAATTAGTGCAGTGCACACTGAGGATTGTGTCCTGTACTGCCAGCAGTGAAAGGAGCGTGACCATTCCCTGCACACACCTTGTCCTGCAGGACCCTGGTACAGCCCTGGCCCTTGGGGAGGTGTCCTTTACTCACAGAAAGCACCATCCATCCCCAAAGCTGCTGTGCCATCAGTCAGAGCATGCCCTCTATTCCACTGGAACTGACTCTGTGGAAATATGAGCCAGGTGAAAATGTGGAGGGATTAGGGTGAATCCTTGGGGCACAGGAGCGAAGGAAAAGAGAAGAAAGTGATGGGAAAGCAAAGGTTCCATCGTGGCAGGGTGGGCAGGAGCACAGAGGGGAGAAGCAGCAGGCTGGGACTGCAGCTCCAGCCCAATAACTGGGGTGTTGATCCAGGTGTGCCCCTCTGCTGTGAGCCCACACCCAGGGCAGGGTTTGTGCCCCTGGGGCTGCACCTCTGTGACAGCTCTGGAGCCCAGCTGGCCGCTGTCCTGCCATGGAAAAACCTTCCTTGGGTGTGGGTTTGTGATTCAGCCTAGGTGAGAGTGCAAGGAACACGCTGCTGCTGTGCCACACTCAAGTTTTTATTCTAAGATCTTCTGAAGGGGAGGGTTCTAAGGGATACAGTGTTATCTCTGGTGTGGTAGCAGCAGTGAAACAACTACTAAATGGGATCTTGAGTAGGCAAGTAGGTACTGAGTGAGCAGGAAGGGTATCCAGCATACAGAAGTGTAGGTTAAATATGATTATAAACTAATGAGTTTTTCTTTTTATCTAATCATGGCCTAATACTACTGGTTGTAAGATTTTACACAACATTACTAGAGTATTGCTCAGAACTATTTATGTATTTCTGTTAGTTTTTCTTGTTTATGGGAACACTATAGCTAAAAAATGTGAACAGGTTAAGTTTCCATTTGGTCTGGGGTAGGATAACTTTATGGAAATACCTCCACTATGGTAGAATTGTGCCTAAGGACAAAAAAAGTCTCTGCTGTCTGCTGCAGATTTTTAGATACTCAAGGCACTTAGTGTAAGTTTCTACTAAAAGCTAAAATCTATATTTCTATTCGACTTTGTGGCTTCATATATCTCAGTTTCTCTAGTGGTTTCAGTTCAATCTCTGAGCCTGGATTTCTCTCTGGGCCTGTGCCCTGAGGGGCTTGCATTCCAACACCTGGGGGCACTTGGACTCTCCTGCTCCCACCCTGCACTCTCCTGTTTCCTGGGAGGACACTCCCAGCCAGGCACTCCTTCCTCAGCCCTGCTCCCAGCTGGGGCTGTGTTGTAGTAATTAGCCTCCAGCCAGGTAATAATTAGCATTAACTCCATGTGTTACAGAAGGCTGATTAATAATAATCTTTATTAAGAGACTCCTTGCTCTTTTATAGACAGATACAGGTTGACCTAATTGGTCCTCTAGTCCAAACACATCACCTTGGCTAATTAAGAAACCACCCTTTGGTAAACAAATCTCCATAACACATTCCACATGTTCACAACAACAGGTGCAGGAAGTGAAGATAAGAATTGTTTCTCATCTTTTCTCTTATCTTCTCACAGCCTTTCCCTGGACAATGCCTGGGGAAGTTGTGTTTCTCTCTGTGGCCAGAGAGCTGCTGCCACAGGGCTGTGTGGAGGGGAGCCCAGGCTGCTCAGCACCTAGGCAGTGGGCACAGGGCACCCAGCTGAGGATGAGTTCAAGGTTAAACCACGGGGCAGCCATTTGGGGAACACAGCAGGGCAGTCTGCAAATCCCCATGGATGGCACAGGCCCTCCCTGCTGCTGCAGGTGAAGGGAGCAGGGCCAGCACAGGCTGCCCATGAGTTTGTGGCATGTCCTGGTAACTGGTGGCCCTGTGTCTCCCTGCTCAGTACAAACAGGTGGAGCAGTACATGTCCTTCCACAAGCTGCCCGCCGACATGCGGCAGCGCATCCACGACTACTACGAGCACCGCTACCAGGGCAAGATGTTCGATGAGGAGAGCATCCTGGGGGAGCTGAGCGAGCCCCTGCGTGAGGTAAGAGGGCAGCTGATGGGCAGGGCATGCTCCAAGCACCTCTGGCAGCTCTGGAGCTCCTGGGCCAGGGGCTCAGGAAGCTCCCACCTCTTGTGTTTGGCTGAAACTTGGCATGGAGTGCTGGCCTCATGCATATCGCACCCACCGGGGGAGTCACAGGAAGAAGGAGCCTTCAGAGAATCCCCCTTTCCTTCCCAGCTGAAGCCTGGCAATGCAGGTTGTCCCTGCTGTGTCACCAGTGTGTCACCCAACAGCTCCAAAAGGGGCATGACTTCTGTCTTTGTCCCCCAGTAATGTTCCTCCATGGCAGAGAGGAGAGCTGAGCAAGTGCCAGCCAGAGTTTAAAACTAGTTTTGCGCAGCTCCAAAAGGGGCTTTCTGTCTTTGTCCCCCAGTAATGTTCCTCCATGGCAGAGAGGAGAGCTGAGCAAGTGCCAGCCAGAGTTTAAAACTAGTTTTGCTGAAGTCTCAAAGGGCACCCCTCTGAAAACGCCTGTGGGAGGACACAGATGCTTCCCCAGCTCTCTCTCTTCCTGCTGCAGTTATCCCTGTTCCCATGGAGTGCTGTGCTGGGTGATGGGCTCAGCACCACATCCTGAGTGGGAGCTGCCAGGGCACAGAGCAGCTCCTGAGCTGTCACCCCTGCGAGTGACAGAGAGCCCCAGGGGAGGCACAGCCTGGCTGTGCTGACAGCTGAGCAGAGCTTTCTGCAGCCAGGCTTGGTGATCCAGCCTCTGCCCAGTGCCTGGTGAGCACCTCTCCCTCCTCTCCTGACACTGTCCCCATCTGCCCACATTTGTGCTGTTTAACAGCTCATTGACAAGCAAGGGCAGCAGAGAACCAGGGGCTGCCAAGGTGAGTTATGACATCTGCCTAGAGAGGAGCTCTGGGCTTTGTCAGACAGCATTTCACTGCTGCTGTGCTCCCTCACACTGTTGTGTTTGTGAGGTGCCCCAACGAAGGAAGGAATGCTGAATCTAACTCCATGTTCTCAGAAGGCTCATTTATTATTTGATGATCTATATTATATTAAAGAATACTAAACTATACTAAAGAATACAGATGGGATACTTAGAGAATGCTAAAAAGATAACAATGAAACTCGTGTCTCTCTCTAGAGTCCTGACCCAGCCTGGCCCTGATTGGCCAATGTGTGAAAACAACTCACAGCAGAATCCAGTGAAACAATCACCTGTGGGTAAACAATCTCCAAACACATTCCAAAGGAGCCAAACACAGAGAAGCAAATGAGATAAGAATTGTTTTCCTTTTTCTCTGAGGCTTTTCAGCTTCCCAGGAGAAAAATCTTGGGTGAAGGGATTTTTCAGATTGTGAATACCACACTCACAGCCCAAGGTTTCCTGTAGAAACAGGAATGCTGTGTGTGTTGGGGAGGCTTGAGTGTTGCTCCTGCTCAGGGGAGGCAGAAGTGAGCTCCAGCACTGCTCTGAGCATCCAGAGCCCATCCAGCCAGACCAAGGCACAGCCATTTTAAATGCACAGGTCAGGTGGGGACCTTCACAGGTCATTAGGTGTTGATAACCATATGTGTGTCCTCTCCTTTACACCACACCTGCTCAGGAAATCATCAACTTCAACTGCCGCAAGCTGGTGGCCTCCATGCCCCTGTTTGCCAACGCAGACCCCAACTTTGTGACGTCCATGCTGACCAAGCTGAAGTTCGAGGTGTTCCAGCCCGGGGACTACATCATCCGCGAGGGCACCATTGGCAAGAAGATGTACTTCATCCAGCACGGGGTGGTCAGCGTCCTCACCAAGGGCAACAAGGAGACCAAGCTGGCTGATGGCTCCTACTTTGGAGGTGCGTGCTGCTCACTGATCCTCCACTGCCACAGCGCTGCTGGGCTCAGCCATGCTGGATCCGCGTGGGACTGACCCCAGCACCTCCTCCTCCATGTCTGGGCAGCTTCCCAGACAGGGGATGGTGCAGGGGTGTTGGGTTAAACCCTTCTTCTGATCCAGAGAGGTGTTTTAAAAACTTTTATTCCATTTTCAGTCTCATGAGCAGGGTGGGACAATGCAGATGTTATAATTCATGCCATCACAATCAGAAGCCAACTATTTCCTAATTACAATACATTATAAGCATTTCTTGGCCTATCAGCTTTTGTCACACCATGCTGTAAATGCCTTAAAGCCAGTCATCTACAATGCATCTTTCATGGTTCCTTTCCTCCAAAGTATCTGGTCTTATTTGCAAAGCCATCCTTTGAAACTTGTTCCTAGTTCCATTTCTCTCTCAGCAATGTCTGTCCTATTCCATGGCATTTCTCAGTCAGCATTTCTTATCTCAAGGTTTGCATACAGATGCACACTGTGTGAGCCTTCTGTCAGGCTGTGAGAATTCCCTACAAATCCATTTCCCACACAGGGGGAGGTGACTGGTGGGCACTGCAGAACCTAGGTCATAAATAACAGCAAAACACAGCAGAGAAACTTGGTTCTTGCAGGTTCATTTCCCTCTGACAGGTGGGTGAAGCTGAGAACCTAAAGGTAAAAACGGCCTGTTCTCAGTTCTGCAGGCACATTCCTACTCCTGCTTTCCAGCATCTACTGCATGAGGGGCTGGATAAACACAGAGGGGTCCCTTATTTGCCCTGCCTGTGGCCCAGCTAAGTGTCCTGGGGGTCAGCAGGCAGGCAAAATGTATGAGCAGAGAGCTCTGGAGCAGTGGGAGCAGCAGGAGGCTGGGAAGGATTTAGGGCATTGCTCTCATGAGAAACACAAAGCCTGTTGTCCTGTCAGAGCCTGTGCAGAGCTCAGCTCCAGACAGGGAGGTTGCAGGACGAGCTCTGAGTGCACCACCCCTGATGAACTGCTGAGGGGAGACAGAGCAAAACCTGCCAGGCCTTCCCTCTAAAACATCCCTGTGATGAATTTCCCACACTCCTGTTACTCCTGGTTCATGTGGAACAACCTCACTTGGTACAAGGGTTTTGCAGCATGGCATTTGGAGCTGAAGGGTTGGAGTCAGGATACCCTGACTGCCACATGGGGTTGAACTTGCCTGTGACATTCCATCACAACTCCTCACACACGTGGCACTGTCTCCTAAGCATCATTTCCTTGGGAAAACAGCCTAGGAGCACACTCATAACCTTGTGGTGCTGCTGTAGCAGGGCTTTGGGGAGGCTCAGCATGAATCCAAGGAATGGTGCAGGAGGATTGGCACCCAGCACACACAGGGAGCAGAGTGCTGTCACTCTGCAGCTCACACCATCTGTCCTGCAGGGCCTGTCTCTGCTGCCCAGGCTCTGTGCAAGCAGTGGAAAAGCAGGATTTGGGAGCTCTCTGTTGGGTGTTCGAGGAGCTGTGGTTGAATGCAGGGCTTTGTGTTCAATAACCAGCTGAGCAGTGAGGAGTGTGTGACAGCAGTGTAAATACGCCCTGAGCTGGGAGGTGCCACTGGTGTGGCTTTCCCTGACAGTGCTCGTGGCATAGACATGAAAATCTTTGAAAACTGTGGAAAGACAAATGTTCCAGGTACAAGGATCAAAGTCACAGCCAGGCACCAAAGGCACAGATCAGCACAGAGCCTCTCTACAAATCTAGAGACAATTGGCTTCAATGAGAGCACGGCTCGACCTTCTGCTCCCAGTGCCCACGAGAAGCTGGAGAAACACAACTCCTCCAGTGTGAACACAAATGCTGCCTTTGACAATCCCCCAGAACAAACCTTGTGTGCCTGACTGGACCAGCAGAACCCCGAGGGGCAGCTGTGTGTGGCAGCTGCCCCAAGTGCTTTGAAACGTCAGTGTGCACACAGAATGTGAACCGTGGCTGCGTTTTCTGTGGGAGGGCAGCCTGGAGGGAGGCTGTGAGGGCACTGCAGGGAGGGAGGCTGTGAGGGCACTGCAGGGAGGGAGGCTGTCAGGGCACTGCAGGGAGGGTTCAGGCTGCTGCTGGGGGTGCCCATGCCCTGTCTCAGGCTCTGTGTGCTTGCAGAGATCTGCCTGCTGACGCGCGGCCGGCGCACGGCCAGCGTGCGCGCCGACACCTACTGCCGCCTCTACTCGCTGTCCGTGGACAACTTCAACGAGGTTCTGGAGGAGTACCCCATGATGAGGAGAGCCTTCGAGACCGTGGCTCTGGACAGGCTGGACAGGATTGGTGAGTACAGGGGGGAGAGTTTCCTTCCTTACCTGCTGCCTTGGCAGCCCTTCTCCAGGCTTGGTGCTCAGTTCTGTGCTGCAGTTGGGAAGTGAAGAAGATCCCAGCCTGGCCCTCCTTGTCCAACTTCAGCTCCCTGAAGGACTCCAATCTAAACCTACTGGGGGTAAGTTTAGTTTAGATTTTAGGGAGAAATCCTTCCCTGTGAGGGTAGTGAGGCACAGGGTGCCCAGAGCAACTGTGGCTGCCCCTGGATCCCTGAAGTATCCAAGGCCACGTTGGACACTAAGGCTTGGACCACTCTGGGACAGTAGAAGGTGTCCCTGGACCAGATGACCTTTAAGGGTCCATTCTGACCCAAGCTATTCTGGGATTCTGTGATGGTCACAGCTCACAGTGACCCATCTCAGGATGCTCTCTGTCCTGTGGGAGACACAACCTGTGCTGCAAACATCCTTGTCCAGCTGTCTTTTCCCCAGTTAAAGTTCAGGATAACGTTCTTTGGTCACAGCCAGAGGTGTTAAACAGAGATGAAGTGACTCATGCAGGAAGGCTGCAGAGCTGAGGAGCATTTTGGAGTCCCAGTCTAACTCCTGCAGCTCCTTGTCCATCCCCTCACAGTGCCTGCATTCCCACAGCTTTCTGCATGGAAAGCTCAGTGGAGCTCTGGGCACAATGCAGAGAGGCAGGAGGGTGATCAGGGGAGGGGGATAGGGACTAAGCTGGCATCCAAGCAAGGGGTGCAGTGCCTCTGGGGCTTCTCCTGCCAGGGACATTGGATTCTCTACATCTCATTACCTGCTGCAAATCACCAAGTGGGACCCTTGAGGAAAAGCCTCTGAGCAGAAGACAAGCTTTGGCAAAGCCCAGGCTAATGAGGCCCTGGTGGAAGTGGCAGTAGGCCCAACACTTGGGTTATTTCAGTGAGGCTGTACAAATGACAGAGAAAATGTAAAATCAATGCAGGGATGGGCCAGCTTGGCTTTATCTCCAGTTCTGCAGGTCTGGGTGCTCAGTGCTGCTCAGCTTTCCAGGCTGGTGCTCTCTGGGATCAGGTGGGCAGAACATCCCGTGCTTCCTGTGCTGTGCTCTGTGCCCCTGCACACGTAACTGAAATCCATGGAAAATTCTGACCCAGCACAAAGAACCTCACGTGCTTCTTCCCCTGAGAGAACTCTCCTTCCACTGACAGCTGCAAATGTCAGCATAAGGTCAGAAGGTGACACTGAGCAAGTGGAACAACAGGCCCTTTGCTGCAGGGCTCTGCCACTGCCCCCCCTTCCTTCAGCTGGTCCCTGTGCCACTGAAAGTCCTGCTGTGCCCTGCTTTCCCTGGCACTCACCCTCGAGAGCTGCCTGCTCCCTTAACTCTACATCTAAACTGTTGTGAAATGGCTCCTCCATAGCCCTTGGTGGTGCCCAGCTCTCCTCAGCTCTAACTGCCCCACAGAGCCCTGCCCAGGGGAGCTCTGGGCACCCTACTGGAGCTGGCAGATCCCATGGAATTCCCTGACTTTGTAAATAAGGCATTTCTTCCCTTCCTCTGGAACATGCACCATCCAGAAGGAGCAGTGCAGTAGTTCTGTACCAGCCTGTGACTTTGGAGGGAATTCAAGGTCACTGCATTCTGCTGAGGCTCTCTGGAAGTGCAGGAATCATTCTGGAGGACTGAAGTTGAGGAAGAGCAGTTCTTGAAAAGCAGGGCTGAACAGAAGCAGGGCCAATTTTGGTCCTGTCCCATCCAGTTCAGGATCTGTGCATAAGAAGGAAGCAAATGGAAGCCTCTTTCCAAGTCAGTGGTGCATTCACTGGCTCCCTTCTGCCCAGGTGACAGTGTCCTTGGGAAAGCCAGGCCACCGTGAGTGCAGGAGATGATTCAGAGGGCCCTGTCTCTGTTCTGGTAGCAGGATAAGATCTATCCAATATTCCCCTGTGCGTTGAGGGAGCAGGGAGGAAAACCTCAGCCCATCCAGTCCCATCTGGAGATGTTTATGGGATTTCTGGCCACTGGGGGGTTTGGAAAGCGTGGTCTTGTAGGCACACAGTTTGTGGTAATGGGAGTGGGGCTGTGGCCCAGCCTCATCCCCAGTGGGCACAGCTGTGAGCAGCACTGACAGCAGTGAGCCATGGAGTGCCCAGGGGCACTGAGCAACCCCCAAAGGGAGCAGAGGGCACACAGGGGCACACATCAACATGAGGGGTGTAAAAGGTTGGGCTAAAGAACAAAAAGATGGTTGCAGTTTCCTGAAGTGATGTTATTCTGTATGGCCTGATGTCTGAAACCTTCAGATGTAGTCTTGGTGACTCTGTTTGGGGTGAAGCTTTCTGGAATTGCATGGGGATACTCTGTGTATCTCAACTGTGCCATGCTGGGACATGGTCTCAGCTTTGTGGGGAGCAGGCAGGGGCTCAGCCCATGCAGCAACAGGAGCAGGATTGGTTGATTGAGGTGGGATGAGGCAGTCCCACAGCAGGGCTGAGCAGTTTGGAAGCAGTGGGTGGGCAGAGGAGAGGAGCCAGAGCCCCCCAGCCTGTGCTGCCATGGCTTCCTGCAGGAACATGGGCTGTGCACGGAGCCCTGGGCAAAGAGCTGAGGTGTAGCCTTCAACCTCTGCTCTCCTGGGGATTGTTCCTGGTGTCCTGCCTGGATTGGGCAGGAAGGGATTCATCTCCATGGCTTGACAGAGCCTGGGATGCTACAAAGATTTGTGTCTCTGCTTAAGTCCAAGTAACTTCAGGCTCTGAGAGCTCCTCACCAGCAGAATGTCACACACTTGTGACACTCCAGAGACTCAGGGCTGGAAGGTGGACACTCAAAGAAATTGGGCTGATCACTGATTAATGATCATTTCTCCCTGATTAAATCAGCCCCTCTTCCTTGTTCCTGCCAGGCTGTGTGCCCTTGTTCCTGCCAGGCTGTGAGGCTGTGTGCCCTTATTCCTGGGCAGGCTGTGAGGCTGTGTGCCCTTGTTCCTGCCAGGCTGTAGTTTGTGTGTAGTGTCTGTGGTTGCAGGGGTGCTGTGCTCTCTGCAGTGAGTAATTCTCTGTCTGGCAGTGTTGGTGAAGTGCCCCAGTTTGCCGTGCCCCGTTATGTAAATCACACCCTTCTGTTCCTGCCTGCCTTTGAAACTGGCTTTCAGTGACCACTGGTGCTTAAAATGAGATTTCCACAAGTATTTGCACTTGTAAAACACCACCACTTAAATGCTCATTGAGAGGAAGCCCGGCAGGGGTGGTGAGTGCTGTCAAACCCAGGGCATAGGGAATAGCAGGGACCATGCTCTTCACTGCTCCATGTGCCATCTACATCCAGAAATGCCTGCCACCAGCTCCTCCCCACCCACAGCAAGGGCACTGGGGAGAGCTGAAAGCCTCCTAGGAGCCAGAGGAAGTTCTTGTTTTTGTTTTCCCCAGGAAGTTTTTGCCATGTGGTTTGAAATGCATATACTTTGAATGCCACTTGTGTATGTTTTGATACAAGGATTCAAGTTAAATCAGGATTAAAGATGCCTTGAGTTTCCTCCAGGCATTGCAGATGCCAAAAAAACAAAGAAAAGCCAAGGCAATGCAATTCCAGCCCCTAAATGTAATTTATTATATTATTGCAGTATGAGAGTGTCTGTTCAACATACTACAGTGGTAGAAATGTTAAAAGCTTTGTCTATAAAGAAACCACAAAAATAGCTGTTCCCAGACTTTTGGCCTGTCAGCTCGTGACCACAGTTTTGCAGCTGAGATGCTGTTGGTTTTGCAGCCCTGCTTGTCTAGTCCTGACTAATCCCCTGGGTTTAGGGCTGGCCTGGGCCAGGTGAGGCAGGGAGGAGAGCAGCTGGGAGCAGTGCCAAGCTCTGCCTCAGATTCCCTGCTTGTCCTTGTGCTGCCTTTGCTCCCAGCCTCAGCTCCTCATCCCTTCTGCAGGGACAGTGGTGCTCACAAAGGGGGAGCTGGGATGTTTTGGGGCTGCTCCCTTTGGCACTTGTGAGGATTTGTGAAGGAATTTTGAATGAGTTAGAGACAGGACCTCTGAGTTGCTTTAGATGATGTGATTTCTTTTTCTTATCTTCTACATAGGCAGAAAGGGTGAGTTCGGCTCACATCTTCACTGCATGGCTCAGAAGGTCACAAGGCCTCTAGTTACAAGATCTTTTAAGGATTTATTAGCCAATAAAACGCTGCCAACAAGGATATTTATGTTTTTGACCCAATCCTTAAATATTTCATCTTATGGACTCATGCTGCAGTGTAAGCTTTCTTAGCTAATCATGACACACAAACCTACAGTTCTGTACTCTAAAACTCTAACTTTACCTAGCTTAACGTGTCTCTGCTTTAAACTATAAATCCACATTCTCACTCCTATCACCTAAGTTTGGAAGCCTTTTCCAAAGTCTTGGGTCAAATCCTGTGTTTAATTCTAAGCTTTGGCTTACCGACCCAAAGTTCTGAGAGTTCCCTGCATTTCAGATTCCAACAGACTGCAGAGAACTCCAGCAATGTGTGCTCAACACCAGCTTTCCATTTTAACCAAATAAAGTCCCAGGTTTGTCCAATGGACAGGTGAGTAACCCCCCACAGGTGAGAGGAGCAGGATGATCTGGCCATCAGGAGATAAATACAGCTGGAGATACACAAACAGTTCTGATCTGAGGCTGTGGTTCTCAGATCTGGACCAGTGGTGCAAGGAGAGAAGTGCCTGTGGCCCAGGTGTGCAGTGGTAGAAGGTGTGTGCTTTGGCACAGAGCTTCCTTTCAAATTCCCAGCCCTTGGCACAGGTGGGGTTTGTTCTCCTCTGTGGTGTCCTCTCTCATCACCTGAATAACCACAAATGTAACTGTCCGTGAGGAATCAAAGTTCAGGTGCCACTTGTGCATTCTCTGTCTCCCTTCAGCACCCTAGTGTAGGGATCTGGGTGTGCTCAGCACAGAGAAGGCACTCACAGTGTGCTTTGTCTCTGCTGAGGTGGCTCAGGTGAATCACACCTGGAAGTGCTCCCTAGCACAG